GATTCCAATGGAATGAATTATGACCATAGAATATTAGTGTTGAAGCCTTTTTATTATCTCTTTACTCTATCCTGGACATTGAGTTCTACCTGGATTCTCCTCTTGGAATATTTTTTTTTATACAAATATATATATATGTATATTTACCACTAATAATATATATATATATATATATATATATATATATATATATATATATATATATATATATATATATATATATATATAAGTTAATGGTCAGAGTTGAATCAGACCTGGAAACAATAGTATTAAAATTGCTCAAAAGTGAGAAAAAATATATAGGAAAAAATAAAATAAAATGTAGAGCTTTTTTATCTTTCAGTCAGTGAGTTATGTGCCACGCGTTATACGTGCTTAGGGGGTCATGTTCCTTTCGATACATGACTGACGCGGCAGATTTTTTCCTGCAGTAGATTGCCATTTCTTTCTGCAGTAAATCAGTTGTCATCCAAAGCTATAGAACCCGGCCTGTCGTGCTATTTACCCATATCTGGAGGTGGGGAGAAGAAAAGACTTCCTACTTTTCCCGAGGGTCTTAGCACATAAGAGAATGTAATGGATTCCACTGGAATTCGAACTCGGCTCTCTGATTCCTCAATCACAGCCGCTATCCATTACCCAGAATACTTCGATAAGTTTATTTCATTTTGATCAAAGGTGGGGGAGGGGGCAAAACACCCCACTGAATTTTTTTTTATATAAATTAAATTTAAATTTGAACAAGGGAATAATTCAGAGGGTATTTGGATACGTATATTTCATTTTGAACAAAGGGGGTTCCCGTGGGGGGAACGACCCCAGTAAATTTTTTCCCTTTAAATTAAATTTGAATTTTAACAATGGAATGATTCCTATCGAAAATATAGGAGGAGAAAGCCTGAAGATGGAGGTCACATCGGCAAAATCATTTTGATTAAATTGGGGTCTCCGGGGCACATACACACCCACTGAATTTTTGTTTCCCTTTAATTTAAATTTGAACAAGGGAAGTTAGATAAGTATATTTCATTTTGAACAAAGAGGGTTTCCGGCGGGGGGGGGCATAAAACGCCCATTGAAATCTTTTCCCCTTTCATTTAAATTAAATTTAAATTTGAACAAGGGAATGGCTCGTATCCAAAATATAGAATTGTCATACGTTTCACGATAAACTACATCCGCATCATGGGTAAGACACTTAACTATACCCGACAGCAAGGCCTCTGATTAGGAGGTTTTAGGAATGTGGAACCACCTCTTAATTGTTGGTGTTCCCAGATCCACGCAGATCTGGTGTGCTAGCACCTGCTAGGGTCCAAGCTTTCGGTAAATAGTTAACTGGGGTCATTTTTTTCTCGATATGACGATAAAATTACATCCGCGTCCTGGGTAAGAAATTCTGATCAAGAGGTTTTGAGGGAAGTGGAACAACCTCTTATTGCTGCTGTTCCCAGGTTTTATCCTAATCCGGAGTGAAAGCATCTGTTAGAGTCCCAGCTATGACCAAATAGTTGACCCCCAATCTGGGGTCAAAAGGCCGTGAGGGTATAAAAATAGATATTAATGACAACACTACATTTTTGGCGGAAAAGTTATTACCAGAAATACATTTTCGAGAAATACTTTTTTTACCAGCAATACTTTTATGAAGAAAAAAAACGTTACCAGCAATACATTTTTGAAGAAAAAGTTATAACCAGTATTATGGTTTTGAAGGAAAAATTATTATCAGAGATAAAATTTTGAAGGGAAAATTATTACCACTAATACATTTTTGAAGGAAATATTATTACCAGCAATGCTTTTTTGAAGGAAAAATCATTACCAGCAATACATTTTTAAAGGAAAATTATTACTAATAAAATATCATCAGCAATACATTTTTGGAAAACATATTACCAGCAATACTTTTTTTGAAAAAAATATTATCAGCTATTCATTTAAAAAAAAAAAAAATTTTACCAGCTATAGATTTTTTTGAAAAAAAATACTACCAGTAATAGATTTTTGAAGGAAGAAATATTACCTGCAATAAATTTTGAAGGAAAAATATTACATGAAATAGGTTTTTGAAGGAAAAATATTAGCAGTAATACATTTTGAAAAAAAAAATATATATATATATTACGAGCAGTAAAAAATTTGTAGGTATTATATAACCCATTGAGATTGATATGCCGTAAATCAATATAAATCAAAATATAGAAGGAGAGATTCAGAAGATGGAGGTCACACCGGCAAGATCAAAATGAGACAATATGGATGTCAAGTTGAGGAAGAAGTCACAAATCTGTTTTTTAGTGTCTTACAATACATATTTGTTGCGACCATTCAACGATCTTATCAGTGTTGAAATTTGCACATCAAATCATTCAATGAAGTATTGCATCAAATACATATGAATGAGGTCAGACCAAGCTGTTTTTGCACAGTCCCCCCACCACTGATTTTGATCCCTTTGATTTAAATTAAAATTAAATTTGAACATGGGAATGACACCTATGCAAAGTATAGATGGAGAAAGCCAGAAGATGAAGGTCACATTGACATGCTCATTGAGTAATCTTGAAATGCATCATTTTCTCCACAAATTCTAACAATGATTTAAAATCAATCATTTTCTTACAAAAATGTGCGTGACACGAGCAAGGGGCGGGTAATTCGACTAGTGACAAATAAAAGTGTTGAAATGCTATGCAATATCAGCCATTCTATATGGAAATGAATATCTAACAGCTTATGTAGAGATGGAGAGGAGATTTGAGAGAAAAAAGAGATGTTCTACAGAAGGATACTGAGAATACATGTGAGCAAAGAGGAAGTTTAAGGAAGCTGGAACAAAAAGAATTCTTATATGTACAATCAGAAAAAGACAGAGAAGGCATTTCTAGAGAACATAATGTCGAAAGAAGGCTTAGAAAATTTGATGCTCACGAAACATATTGAAGGCAAGAGGTACAGAGGAAAACAGCAACAGACATATAAATAGATAGCAGAATAGGGATTGGGAGGGGTAGCAAAAAATTGCTTAGAGCCATGTTGCCCCACATTCTGAAACGACACAATGAAAAGAATTTAAGCCACGAATCAAATCTGCTAAAAGCTACAAGGAAAAAGGGATTTGTGGAGGAAAACGGACAGAGATCATCCTACGCCATAATCCTTCTATAATCGTCTATGTGATCCTGTCTATATTTCTGAGATATGCTATTGTAACTATTTATCCTATTCACATCATGCAGACTGTTGTCCTCATTTTTATTACCATGTTCACAAAGTTTCGACCGTTGTACGCCCCAGCCTTCTTCAGGATCTGTCTATATTTCTGAGATGAGGCATAGTAACTATTTACACTTTATATCATTCGGACTGCTGTTCTCATTTTTACTGCCATATTCACAACGTTTCGGCTGTTGTACGTAACAGCCTTTTTCAGGATCTGTCTATATTTTTGAGATGAGGCATAGTAACTATTTACACTTTATATCATTCGGACTGTTGTTCACATTTTTACTGCCATATTCACAACCTTTCGGCTGTTGTACATAACGGTCTTCTTTAGGATCTGTCTATATTTCTGAGATGGGATATTGTAACTATTTACACTATTTATATTATTCGACTGTTGTTCTCTTTTTTATTGCCATATTCACAACGTTTCGGCTGTTGTACGTAACGGCCTTCTTCAGGATTGGTCTATATTTCTGAGATGGGGCATTGTAACTATTTACACTATTCACATCATTCGGACTGTTGTCCTCATTTTTATTGTCATATTCACATCGTTTCGCTCCAGCCTTTTGGAATTTTGAAACTGGCGTAGGGTGTTCTAGTTCCGCGTGCCATATCTCAATTTCAGTTGTTTTCCTTTAGTAATTCTTCAAATTCACCTTTCCTTTTGCCAGTTATTGAAGTCACAACGCTTTAGATGAAGTCACTGGATTATTTCAAGTGATATTTTTATCCATTTTCTTCTAGGGGAGATCACTGAATGAATTCTTGCGACTTATAGACCTATTGTCTTAGTAATCATTATTTACCAGAGCTCATATTACAATCTTTTGTTATTCTTTAGCGCTCTGTATTACTGATCTTCATATTCTATCCATGTCTATGGCTGGCTAGCTTAGGAGATTTTTGTGGCCTAGCATATGTGCTGATTCCTTAAGTTTTCGTATTTTCTAGTGAGTTCTCTGTTTATTATTTCAACATCATCCCACAAGGTGGGGTATTCTCCCTTTTCCCTCCATATATGGTCATCTATAGCTGATTTTTTCTAATTCATTTTGTGTTACGGCTTTACGGTATTCTTGCAGTCTCATTTTAAGCGGGTGGTCCGTTTCTCCTTTATATTTTTTTTTTGCCACAGCTGCTCGGGGTTGACTAGAGTGGATAAACGCTTTGGTTGAAGTAGTCCGATGACTTGATTCAGAGAGTTGTGAGCTCAATACCTGGCTACAGCAGAGGTGAACAAAAAAATTGAGTTTCTAAAGGGACATAATTGAAATTGAGATATCCAGAAAAAGGCATGGCATGTGGAACTAGAATAATCTACCCCGGCAGACGAAATAAAGGGTTCGGTTTGAAATTCCAACATACATCACCTGAAGAACGCCGGAGCCTTCCACGGCCGAAACATCGGGAATATGACAATAAAGATGACGACAACAGTCCGAACAATCTAAATAGTGTAACTTGTCTTTGAGAGATAGTAAAGTGGACCAAAATTGCTTAGGGCTATAAATGATAGAAATTGGGGAGAGCCATTAACGCCCATATTCTGAAACGATACGAACAAGAAGGATTTAAATGTCGATTCAAATCTGATATGAACTACAAAGGACAGAAATTGTGGAGGGCCATGATCGCCCATTTTTTGATGGGACACGACTTTCCGAAAAGACATAAAGAAGAATTTAAATCTCGATTCAAATCTGCTAAGATCTAGAAAGAACAGGACATTGTGGAGAGCCAGTTTCGACCATGTCCTGATGGAATACGGCATTCTGAAACGACTCGGAGAAGAAAAGGCATTCAAATCTCGATTCAAATCTGCTATAAACTACAAAGAACCGGATGCTGTGGAGAGCCAGTTTCGGCCATGTTCTGATGGGATACGGCATTCTGAAACGACTCGGAGAAGATATAGGGTTCAAATCTCGATTCACATTTGCATAGACCGACACGGCTCATAGAAGAAGAAGAAGAAGAAGAAGAAGAAGAAGAAGAAGAAGAAGAAGGGAAAGAAGAAAAGAAGAAAGAGGAGAAGAAAAATAATGATAATAATAATAAGAAGAAAAATTAGAAGAAGAAGAAGAAGTAGAAGAAGAAGAAAGGGAAGAAGAAGAAAAAGAAGAAAAAGAAGAGGGTGAGGAAGAAGAAGGAGAAGAAGAATGAAAAGAAAGAGAAGAAAATATAGAAGAAGAAAAAGAAGAAGAAAAACAAAAGAAGGGGAAGAAGATATAGAAGAAGAAAAAGAAGAAGAAAAACAAAAAGAAGGTGAAAAATTAGAAGGAAGAAAAGGAGGAGAAGAATAAGAGGAAGAAGGAGAAGAAGATGTAGAATAAGAAAAAGAAGAAAACACAACAGAAGGTGAGAAATAAGAAGAAGAAGAAGAAGAAAAAGAAGAAGAAGAAGACGGAGGAGGAGAAGAAGGAGAAGAGGAAGGAAAAGAGGGAGAAGATATAGAAGAAGAAAAAACAAAAGAAGAAGAAGAAGGTGAAAAATGAGAAGGAAGAAAAGGAGAAGAAGAAGAGGCAGCTGCAGAATAAGAAAAAGAAGAAAAAACAAAAGAAGGTGAGAAATAAGAAGAAAGACAAGAAGAAGAGGAAGAAAAAAGAAGTATGAGAAAAAGATGGTGAAAAAGAAGAAGAGAAGAAGGAGGAGAACGAGGAGGAGGAGAAGAAGGTGAAGAAGAAGAAGAAGAAGAAGAAGAAGAAGAAGAAGAAGAAGAAGAAATAGTTATGTAGTATTTTTTTTTTAATTTACTAACAACTAAACATACACCAGCGCGTTTCTTAATTTTGTTTTTCTTCTATCGAAGCTTCCTAAGGTTATTTATATACACATCAGTAGACATTTGTTATTTTCTCATGAACGAAGATGAGGACACGGAGATCAGACGAGAGAATGATTGGTAAAAATAGCTGGTGCCGTTTGACAAGATAATGGTAAAAAAAAATGAATTGACAAGAAGAAGAGAGAAAAGAATTAACCAATCAATAAAGATAACGAATAAAAGACAAAATTCGAAAAGGAGTTATTGAAAGATTGATTATGCCACACACACACACACACACACACACACACACACACACATATATATATATATATATAAAACACGTAAGCACGTATAGACATATATATGTTTAACGTAAATGTTATCAATAAATACTCGCATTTTTTGTTGATTAATTTTTTAGAATCGACTTTTACAAATTACGGATAATCATTCTCAGATAAGGAGGAAATTCTTCCAGAAATTGTCCAAATTTCAGTTTGGAAGAAATCTAGTCCCAACTTTCGACATTCTTAAGTCATCATCAGGTTTGAATGGGTTGGTTTGTTTTATGGTATATCAACCGCAATAGGTTATTTAATGCCGACAAAATTTTCATTCTTGGTAATATGTTTTCCCTCCAAAAATCTATTTCTGGTAATAATTTTACTTGTATAGCTGGTAATGTTTGTTTTTTTTTTTTTTTTTTTTTTTTTTCCAATATATATTGCTGGTAATATTTGTTTTTCAAAAATCGTAATGTATTGCTTGTAATATTTTTTAAAAAATGTATTGCTGGTAATAATTTTATACAAAGTATTTCCAGCATTAAAATCTATTTTTACACTTTCATAGTGTTTTGACCCCAGTTTGGGGGTTAACTATTTGCCCATAGCTGGGACCCTAACAGGTGCTACCACCCCGGGTCAGAGTGAACCTTGGAACACCAGCAATTAAGAGATGGTTCCATGCTCCTCAAAACCTCCTGACCAGAGGCCTTGCTGCTGGATGTAATTTATCGTCTTACCCAGGACGTGGATGTAGTTTACTCTCTTACTCAGGAAGCGGATGTATGTTATCGTCTTACCCAGGACGCGGATGTAGTTTATTGTCATACCCAAGAGGCAGATATAGGTTATCGTCTTACTCAGGACGCGGGTGTAGTTTATCGTGTTACCCAGGACGCGGATGTAGTTTATCGTCTTACCCAAGAGGCGGATGTAGTTTATCGTCTTACCCAGGACGTGGATGTAGTTTACTTTCTTACCCAGGACGCAGATGTTGTTTATCTTCTTACCCAGGACGCGGATGTAGTTTATCTTCTTACCCAGGACGCGGATGTAGTTTATCGTCTTACCCAGGACGCACATGTAGGTTATCGTCTTACTCAGGAGGCGGGTGTAGTTTATCGTCTTACCCAGGATGCGGATTTATGTTTATCGTCCTACCCAGGACGCGGATGTAGTTTATCGTCATAGCAAGACACGGATGTAGGTCATCGTCTTACCAAGGACGTAGATGTAGTTTATCGTCATACCCAAGACACGGAAGTAGGTTATCGTCTTACCCAGGACGCGGATCTAGTTTATCGTCTTACCCAGGACGCGGATGTATGTTATCGTTTTACCCAGGACGCGGATGTATGTTATCGTTTTACCCAGGACGCGGATGTATGTTATCGTTTTACCCAGGACGCCGATGTAGTTTAACGTCATACCCAGGACGGTCACCATCAGGGTAAGGAGAGACAAATGGTGCGATTCGTAGACCTGGTAACTGTAGTGACGTGGGCAAAGAGATTTTTTTATACTGGACAGGTCTGACGTGTGTGTATTATTTTTAATTTACTTTTTATTTATACATTTGAGGATGTGGGATCTTAGATTACATTTTTTTTATAGATGGTTGTTTTTTTGTTGCATGAGTATTGATTTGACAAGAACGCGCGCGCGCACACATACGCACAGACACACTTCAAACATCGCCTCCGTCACAACGCTATTTATCCCTTGTTTCCCATTTAGAATTGGGTTTCCGATTCCTTCAAATATCTTATTTTCTTTCATTCCCAGTAGCTGTTTGTGTCTTAGGGGCATAATCGCCTTTCTTGGTGTTGTAGCATACCTACGGACGATAATGGCTATGTCTCCGTTCACGTAAATACAGTAGTAAATACTGTATGTTGGTCTGCAGTTGGAGATTCATTGTGGAATTCACTTGACTCACTTCTAGCAGTTGATAACTTCTACGCACTGCTGGCGAATCTTATATGTGTTGTTCTTGTCATATGTATTATCTTTCATTACCAACCTTCGTGTGATTATTCTATTCAGTAACCTTCCCTAGATTATAAAACTTTGGATGAATTGATTAGAAAAATAAATAAAAATAAATAAATAAGCAAACCAAAAACTATTATTAAAAAAATAATTACAATAACTAGAATGGAGCCATTTTCTTTTTCCGCTATCTCTCTAGAACCACACAGTGGTATATATCGAGGACATGAAAGGAGTAGGGACACACATCTATTCAAACTTTTTTTAAAATGGTTACCTGTATCTGAGGAGATACTGGAAAGAGCAGACGACCAAAACATTGAATCGCTGATCCTGAAATACCGTATTAAATGATCGGGACATGTAGCAAGAATAGAAGAGTCAATGGTTTCCAGGTCAAGTCTTATTCAGTGAGCTCATTTCAGGGAAAAAAAAAACTACTTTCGAAGGTACAAGGAACATCTCAAAAGAACACTGAAAGCCACTAGAGCCTAAATCGTTGGAAACAAAACCTGACACAGTACCAACCGATTTGTTTCCTCATCATCGGACCCAAAAACTTGGAAGCCATCTTATGATAAAAAGAAGAGATAAAACCTCGACAAAATCCACCTTGTTCCCCAAAAAACATTACCATGCAGTCAATACCACCGGCTCTGCCATGCAAAGAATTGGGCTACTTATTCATCTTGATAAAGGAAGCGACCAGCAAAGAAGAAATTAAATTCTTGGATAGGCGATAAAAGCCGCCGCTGTTGGCGATATATATTCAATGTATCGTTGTTTTGAAGCATCTCTTTCCTAAACAAACAAACGTCCTCAGAGGTGAGACTTAAAAGTTATTAAATAAACGCAGTGAATACCTGCGTCCTGGGTATGGCGACAAACTACATCCGCGTCCTGGGTAAGACGACAAACTACATCCGCGTCCTGGGTAAGACGATAAACCACATCCACGTCATAGATAAGACGACAAACTACGTCCAGCAGCAAGGCCTCTGACCAGGAGGTTTTGAGGAGCGTGGAACTACCTCTAAATTGCTGGTGTTCTCAGGTCCAACCTGACCCGGGGTGGTAGCACCTGTTAGGGTCCCAGCTATGGGTAAATAGTTGAACCCACAACCTGACTATGAAAGTGTCAAAATAGATTTTAATACCAGAAATACTTTGTAAAAAAAAATAATATTAGCAATAAATTTTTGAAAAAAAGATCTTACCAGCAATAAAAAATATCAGCATTAAATAACCCATTGGGGTTAATATGCCACAAAAATAAACAAACCAAACTATACATTTTTGAAAAAAAAATGTTACCAGCTATACATTTTTGAAAAAATTACCAGCTATACATTTAAAAAAAAAAAAGGAAATTTTGTAGGCATTAAATAACCTATTCTGGTTGACATGCCGTAAAACAAAACAAACCAAAGCAAACCGATTTCTTACAAAGAATACATACTCTATTCATACTCCTAAAAATCTTGTCGGCATTAAATAACCCATTGAGTTTTATATGTCGTAAAACAAACCAAATCAATATATACTGAAATAGATTGATAGATATATAGATAGATTAAAAAATATTACCAGCAATAAAAATCTTGTCGACATTAAATAACCCATTGAGGTTGATATGGCGTAAAAAAAACCAAACCAGTGAATGCCTACTAAAAAATCCATGTTTTTTTTTTATAATGGCTTTTGAAAACCGCAATCTCATTGAAGATATTCAGATATGTATATTTAAATTGTACCCAGAAAGCAGAATATAGACATGAATATACTGACCAACCGTACACACATATATCGATAGGCATACATTATAAGTAATACATATGAGGTCTGATCAAAAAGTAGCTGAACTGTTACCATCGTAACGGAGTTAAACTACACAGAGTGAATTGGATTGTTATGCATTCGCTCTCTTTAGTTTGAGTTGTTCTTGTGAAAAATTATTGCTCTACAATATGTCTCCGAAGCGTAATGTAACCTCTTCTGGTGGCGGTACTTTGAAGAAAGGGAAAGCCATCAGTATGAATATGATATTAGCCATTGCTAAAGGCTCCGGAAATGGAAAACAGTGACGAACTTGAGTCGGTCGACTGTCGTTTAAAACATGGACATATGTCGTCACAAATTACAAAATGGACAAAGTCCGACAATTATTTTACGTTCTGTTTATACGCTAATTTTTTATATAGATACAAATATTTAAATAAATGCTCTGTTTATAATAAACAGTATTAACAACATTTACCGGCCTGAACGTACTAGAAATATTCATAGAAAATATGTGTCTACCGATAGGAATCGAACCTACATCCTACACGGAACCGTCATATAGACTGACGTGCTATACCAGTTTAGCTACAGAGGAGTGTCTGGTTAGCAAATTCAATCTTACTGCTTTTAAACTACAATTTTCCATGATTTCCTTCGAACATTCATGTCTGCTCGATGCGTATCCAAACGTAAACAAATGACGTCACACATTACGAAATGGACAAAGTCCGACAATTATTTTATTCTTCTGTTTATACGTTATTTTTATAGATTATTGAAGAAAAAAAAAGTTTGAACAAAGTAACTATAAACAATTTTTTTCTGCTATCCTCTGCCAGCAACAATGATGGAGAAAACATTACCTCGCATCATCGCCAGTGAGGCACGTTTCAAGAGCCACTCCGTTTCGCGAGGCTCGTCCCTTAATCGAGACGCAATCGCGCCAATCCTCTGAAGGAACGCCATCGAACGAGGGCCAATAACCCCTGAAGTCTCCACTGACACAGGAGTAAAAAAAAAAATCTATCAGCAAGAGAAGAATATTTAACTATTTTTTTTCATCTCTGCGTCCCGGGCGACGGATCCTGGCGCCAACGCTGACCTGATCAAATTACCGACCGAAAATGTATCCGTACAGGTCGCATCCCAAATCAACGACTTCCCTAATTTAAAAGGGAAAATGGTAATGCCATCCGGCCGCTTTCCTCCCGCTTTTTTCTTTGTCTTACTCTCTGTAACCCCCTGCGTACTAGTGGCACTCCCGACTTGCTTGGGGTGAAATACTTAAAAGTCCTGATCTGGCATTTCGTCTGCAGTCACTTTCTCACAGACATACGGTGACTTCCCTCTGTCTTTTCTACTAATATTTTCATGGTAACTGCTCCGACGAGCTACTTTCACTGATGCCCCTACTGCATGAATTTAAGCGTGCTACTAGGTTGGCATCTCGGATCCACCCTTTTACTGTCGAAACAGTTCAATATAACCGCCTCTTCTACTCCAACAGCTTCTTATCTAGCACTTCCCGACAGTGGAGCTTCCTTCCTCCTATTTCCTTCTCTGATAGCTATAATATTAAAATATTAAAATGCAATGTCAATCGACATATTCTGATGCCTTGATACTTATCCCCGTCCTTCTTTATATCTTTTGTGATGCCAACAAACACTCGCTGCCATTTTTGTAATGCCAAGTAATACTCCTTGTCACTTTCGTTATGCTCGTTGTAGTAGAGACTTTGTAATCGCAGATAAAACTTTAGTACACTGCTGGACAATGCTGGTGTCAGACACCTTCGAATAACACTCACACTAATAGTACTTGCTCGATAATATTCGCTCGAATAGTAATCAACGTATAGTGATCCGAATAGAGCAATAGTATAGTGAATAGAGTAGAGAATAGCGGTCCGTATAGTATAGAGGATAGACTAGAAATGCAGATCCGAATAGTAATAGAGGATAGACTATAAATGCAGATCCGAATAGTAATAGAGGATAGACTAGAAATGAAGATCCGAAAAGTAATAGAGGATAGACTAGAAATGGATATCCGAATAGTAATAGAGAATAGACTAGAAATGACGACCCGAATAGTAATAGAGGATAGACTAGAAATGCAGATCCGTATAGTAATAGAGAATAGACTAGAAATGCAGATCAGTTGGACGTCAGATCACTTCCTACTTATGCGTTTCCCCGATGGTCACGTGATCCACTTCATTCAATAATGGGATCGCCTGTGTTTGCTCACTGGCGATCTATGTTCAGGCTGAAGTGTCGGCAGCGACACTTTATTCCTATATAACAATATCCTTTCCTCAAATGCCATCTCTTTACTCTGGCTGTCACTCCTTGTAAAACCCCTGGATGTTAGTCGCTCTATCGCCTCACTTGGGGCGAAATGCTTTAAAAAAGTAATATTGTAATAATGTGATTCATAATTATTAAAAATAAATTGTATTTCAAATACAAATTAAAATATGCGTAATTAATAATAGAATTGATATTAATTTTAGCTCATCATTTTCTATCATGAAGAGCTTTTTTTTTTTAAAAAGGAACCCAATCTGTTTATGGGTGGCCTAGTATATATATATATATATATATATATATATTAACAATCTGTAGCGGGTAAAAAAAATTATAGCTTCAAAAACTGGCATTTTAAAAATATATATTAATATATGAAATTTATTAAAATATATCAAAATATATTACAAGAAATTTGAAGGAAGATTAAGCGTCAACAAACCTTACTACTAACTCTAAACTGGCGAAACGAAAAGTATAACAAAAGTAAACTAAAAAGGGACAACCGGTTATCGATTCTTGCTCTTCAGAGCTCAATCGAGGACAAAACATATAAATATATCCACAACTACTAAAATAGGCGAGGGAAATACTATCAGAGAATTAGCA